GCCTCTTCTTTGAGTTCTACCGCCTGCTCCACGAAGCCCGGCCCAAGGAGGGTGACGACCGGCCCTTCTTCTGGCTCTTTGAGAACGTGGTGGCCATGGGGGTGAGCGACAAGAGGGACATCTCGCGCTTCCTGGAGGTCAGTGCCCACCTGGGGTCACCCCCCTCCGGCCCCGGGACCCCCAGCTCCCACCCCCACAGTGAGGGGTTCCCCAGCCCCACTGACCTTTCCCGCTCTCCCTCCCTCAGTCCAATCCCGTCATGATTGATGCCAAAGAAGTGTCTGCAGCGCACCGGGCTCGCTACTTCTGGGGGAACCTTCCCGGCATGAACAGGTTGGTGAGAGCAGCCCCTGGCTGAGCCCCTGGCCTGGCTCTGGGAGGGTGGGCTGCACCTCTGGGTCCTCCCTCAGCCCAGATGTGGCTCCGGGGGTCCCCTGATCCTGCTCGGTGCTGGGCAAGAGCAGGAATCTCACAAGGAGGTGGTGGCACACCCTGGAAACCTATGGTGGTCCAGGGGTAGCTGGTCCTGTCCTGGCTCCCTTGTGCTGCAGTGGTGGCACTAAGATGTCCTTTGTGTCCCTCTTGGATGTAGGCTGCGGTGGCCCACAGCCAGTGGCCACAGATGGGCTCCCACAGGAATTGGCTGTTTCTTGCCCATCACCTGCCACAGACCCCCAAAAGAGCCATGCCCGCCTTGTGACCCCCACAAACCCCAGCTGGAGACCTGCCCAGCTGGGACACAGCGCTGCCACCCCCTGCCCACCATCTCTCCCCCTCTCCCCCCAGGCCACTCGCGTCCACCGTCAATGATAAGCTGGAGCTGCAGGAGTGCCTGGAGCACGGCAGGATAGCAAAGGTCAGCCAGGGCTGGGGGCTGAGGGGGTGCCTGAAGGGACAGGAGGGGGGTCCCAGTGCTGTCACCAGCAGTCCCAGGGGTGCAGGGTGGGGGTTCCCAGGGCGGGAGTCGCCCGCCCGGTGTGTCGGGGACTCCATCGCGCCCCAGCCTGACCAGCCTGTGCCTCCTGCAGTTCAGCAAAGTGCGAACCATCACCACTCGCTCCAACTCCATCAAGCAGGGCAAGGACCAGCACTTCCCCGTGTTCATGAACGAGAAGGAGGACATCCTGTGGTGCACGGAGATGGAGAGGTACGGCG